GGTGGATGTGAGGGGATGGCAATGGAGAAAGGAGGTTAGAGTGCTGGCAAGATGTGATCAGTGCTACAGATGGGCAGGCTGGCAGAGGGGCCAGTGAGCAGAGATGGTGATGTTGCAGAAGAGCAGTCATCACAGCGCACACTTAGTCTGTAGCTTGTAGCCCATCTCCACGGGGAGGCTCACTGTCTCACCCATGACCTATCTCTTTGGTGGGAGGTGGTGCTCAATGTAGACTTTGGCCATGAATATATAAACTGATCATTTTGTCTGAGTTAATTAGTAAGAAGTTTTTAAGAAAATGTCTTCACCAAAATTTGCAATTAACTGGATATAAAAAATAAAAATAATAAAGACTTGGAGGGGATGGAAGCACAAATCTTACTTTGAGCTTGCAGGATCTTCTGTAGGGTTTGGGGTCATTTAAAGTGCCTGGAAGTACCCCCCAAGTCCTGTTCTGCTTTCTATCCCTTCGTCAACTGCTAAGCCCATAGTTAGGTGGATTTCTCCTCATTCGTATCTTGGACTTCTCTTTGAAAATGAGCCCCAGTAGCAGGCTGAGATGCCCTTTGCTTCTGTGCTTACAGACCACTTGCACCTTGACCACTGCATCTTCTCTCTGACGCCCAGTCCTTGGGATGGACCATTCTGACCAGATCCCTGGGAAGACTTACAAATCAGTCTGTGTTTGTTTTGTGACAATCTCTTGTTCTATCAGGTTCTGATGCCAAGTCTTTGGAGTTCCTACTTTTGTCTTGATCAAGATCTCTGCATCCTTTCAACTTATCAGACACCTGTACCCCAATCAGATGTTAAAGAGGGCTCACCCTAACACTCACTTCCTTTGGGCTGTGGGCAAGCCTCTCAAATAGGATCTGTCTATAGGTCCAGACTTCTCTTACTTCAGAATTGAGAAGGTTTCTTGTTTCCTGTTTCCAGAACAACTTTGAAAGACTGTAGGTGAAAATGAAGGAAACTCAAGATTTTGAAAGAAAAAGGAAAAGAGAAAGGTACAGGAACTAGAAGGACCTCCCCATCTGGTCCTTGTGCTACCCAGTGACTCCTATAGATGTGAGGAGTTTCCAGCCCCAGTGGTGGGAACAGTGACTGCCCTGAGGAAGGAGTACATTAATGAGTTTAGGAGAATAGAAGCACAGCAGTGGCTGATTGACTGCAATGTGTCAGATGTTTTTGTACATGCTATTTAATCCCCTTAACTACATTATTGGAAAGAATTAAGAAAGAGAAACCCTTAGAATGGAGGCTAAGGCCAGAATGAAGCCCAGATGCAGGCTTAGCCCCACTAACTCCAGACTCACACTTCATTCTGTCATCTCCACTTTGCCCCAGATACTCTCATTTCATTTCCATATATCCTATCTGATTTTTAGTTGGACAAAGCTATTTTGTGTTTTTATTAAGAAAGATACTCTCCAATTTAAGGAAAGGTATATGAGACAATTCTATTGGTGCCTGAATGTCACTGTTGCACAATTGAATGTTCCAAAGCTATCATAATTCAAAGCACTGCTAGCTTGGTAATTCACTTCATTAACGGTGCTGTCTGAATAAAACACACAGCAAATTAGAAATAAACAAATGCTTGGAAAGTATGATGATACATTCAGATGGAACAGGAAAGGCTGCCAGAGACAAAACAAGGGGGAGGGAGAAAGGGAGAGGTGAGGAGGAAAGACGCATCAGGACTCACAGGGAGTTTGTTAAAAACCCTTTAAGTAATTATTATTATTATTATTATTATTATTATTATTATTATTATTTATGTGTGTCTCTGTGTGTGAGTGTACATATGTGTGTGAGTGCACATGCCACAGTGCGTGTGTTGAGGTCAGAGGACAACTTGCAAGAGTCAGTTCTCTCCTTCCACCATGTACATTCCAGGGAATGAGCTCAGGTCGTCAGGTTCGGTGGCAAGCACCAGCTCCCACTGAGCCATCTTGCTCAGTGATTAATTTTATGAGCCCATAGGTACTCTGCACCCAGTATTTCTAGAGCACGCCTCTGGAAAATAGAACAAAGTTAATCATGAATCTGTCTTGGTTGTGTCTTTGCCTTTATGCCTCCTTCTCCCATGCCCCTCATATCCAGTGTATTATGAAGTCCTGTCTGTCTTGACTCCAGAGAAAATCTCAGGTCTGTCTGCTTGGCTCCTTACTGGTGGGCACAGGTGTGGTATGGTCTCCATTGCATGCTGTGTCCAAGTTTCCCCTAGGAACACAGGAAGGTCACTCGATTTTGCCCAGAGCTATGACATGGACCTATTTGTAGCCAATGACACATCTCACTTCTGGGATAACACATTAAGATACAGGGTCAGTTAGACCTCTGGTACTCTGTCTTTTCATAGCAATTATGGAAGCCAGTTGTCAAAAGGAAGACAGGACCATGATGAAGCAACTGGGTGACTGTTGTACTTAGGGTTCTCCAGAGAATTGGAACCAACGAGACATAGATGGATATATGGAAATATTTATGAGGAAGATTGGCTCATGTGATTATGAGGTGAGAGAAATCCCATCATCTGATAGACTGGAGTGCTGGGAGAGCAGGCAAGGTAGTCCAGCTCAAGTCCAAAGGCTTGACAACTGGGGACCATTGGTAGAAATCCTAGTCAGACTTCACAGGCCAAGAATCAGACAGGGTATGTCCTAGTCTGAGTCTGAAGGCCTAAGAACTAGGAATGCTGATTTCCAAAGGCAATGAATGGATGACAGGTTTGGAGAACAGAGCCACCCTTCCCTCGCTCTTCTGTTTTCTTGTGGGCCCTGCATGGACTGACAATACTCACCTGAGCCTTCCTTACTTAGTCCACCAGTTTCAATGCTAATTTGTTCCAGAAGCTCCTCAGAGACACGATTGGAAATAAGGCTTCATCGGCTATCCTGGCACCCCTTAGCCCAGTCAACATAACACATAAAATCCACCATCACAGACTCTAAGGGAGAACAGCCCTAGGAGGCCACTGTGTTAGTCACTTTCCTTTTGCTGTGATAGAAACAGTGACCAAAGCAACTTATAGAAAGAAGAGTTTATTTAGCTTATGGTTCCAAAGGGGCAGAAGCCCATTATGGAGGGGAGGCATGGTGGCAGAGGTGGATGGAGGTGGAGCGGAAACTACGCTCCACATCTTCCATCAGGTACAGGATGCAAGAGAGCGACTGGAGATCCAGCAAGGCTTAAGAACTCTCTAAGCCCACTCCCAGTGACGAGCTTCCTCCAGGATAGCCACACCTTCTAAGACCTCCAAAACGGCGCCACCAACTGGGACAAAAATGTCCAAATACTTGGAGGCTATGGGGGACATTCTCATTCAAACCATCACAGTGGACATTTTATGAAAAGGGATGAACAACACACAAAACCAAAACCTTTGCTTCATCAAGCAATTAAGAGTTTGGGATTGTTTGTTATCACAAATTAGAAGATTGCCATTACATTCTCAATAGAAAAGCAAGTGGCTGTCATCTTCCTTCTATAATCCAGCGTAAACTTCTGAACTTTCCTACTTCCATTCTAGCTGTTTTTCCTCATCTTTCTGCAAAGTAGTCGTAGGGAAACTTTGAAGATGTGTCTTAGGTCACATCACTCTCTAGTCAGAAGCCTTCTGCTGATCCCTCTTGCTCTGAGGACCAATTATTAACTCTTTAGCTTGGTTGTCCAGGCCTGTGTGATGACATATGCTTGCTCTTCCAAACACTGTAGTCTCAAACATTCCAGGAGCCTCCCGTTCTAGAATCTTTGCACATGTAGGGTGTTCCCTACCATGGCCACTGACCTCCCAGCTTACTAGGTCCATCCTCAGGATTTTCACTTAGATAATCCCTTGGAGATGTCCTCTGACCCTCAGTGTGACATCTTCTTGTTCCTGTCCTACATGTCGCCTGACCACAGTTTACATTCCTGTATTTATCTTGTTAGTTATCGGTTTAATACATGTCTTTCTCCCTATCCAGACTTCAGGCTCCCCTAGGGAGAGAGACTGTGTTTCTCTGTCCAGACCCCAGTTGATAATAGATGCCAATAAATTCCTAATGGGTGCATTAACAGTAAATCAGAGTTGTATGTATTTTTTATGGATAGCACTAAGGAAAGTGTTGGCTAAAATTTAAAGCCCTTCACACCCTTCTGAGAGCCTGTTGTTTGCACCCTTATCCTAGGAAAATGCTCACTTGCACAAAATTTTGCTTACAATTTCAAGTAAATGATGTACCAGTAGCCCTACCTGTGGTTCTCCCTCCCTGATTTTCTGTTGGCTGGGTTTTTTTTTTTGTTTTTTTTTTGGCACTTATCGTGTCTTAGGCATGGTGCCAGAAGTTTTACAATGATTTCTCTAGCATGTATGTCTAACACACTCATTATGAGAAGGCAATTGCCTTGGTCTTAGAGATATGCATGAATATGCCCAGAGCACTTAAATATCACATCATGTCCATGAGGCTCATCTGTCCAGGAGTCCATATCCATGTTCTGATCCTGTCTTCAGATTTGCTTCTGTTTAGCCTCCAATTTTTCAAGTTCATAAACCAAGAGCATGAGGTTCATACAACACTATTGTGATAATCAAAGGCCAGCTGCAAGTGTGTTCTTTCCGGAGAAAACTTTCATTTCCTGTGTCTCTATGCTTTCTACCAGAGACAACATCTCATAAGAAATAAAGGCTACTTATATAACCATTGTTTATAACCAGTCAGTAGCCTATTCATTATAACTAGTAGCCTGAAAGTACAAAAACATATGAAAAAAATAATGTGTTCAACATGGATTTCTTTTCAGTTTGACTTTATAGAGTCAACTTTAAAAAGAAATTTAGACCTGTCAGGGGTAAAAATATCAATTTCCTTTTCCACAGAGAAACTCAATAATAGACTAAAAATCAGGTTTCATTTGGACACACCTTATCAATTAAATCTGATTTTGATTAGCAATATCTCATACGCTTTCATTTTAAGTCAATCTTTTTTTCCAATCTCTTTCATAAACAGCACATATCTGAAGGAGAAGGAGAAGTCTCTACAGCTGACAGAGAAATGCAGAAACCTGCAATATGGCATTAAGTCTTTATCTAACAAAACGAAACGGTAAGTGCTATTCTTTGAATTTACTTTTAAATAAGTACTTGGTATTCAGAGTGCTCTAAAGCATCTTTGAAATCATTTGGAAAATAAGGCTGTGCTCACTGAGAAGGTCCTGTTGGTCAGGAGGATGGGGCAGGACAACAGTGCAGAGCAGGCTCGTACCCTGGCTATGGGACTCAACGTATCTATCCCTAGATCCACATTTATTAAAGACACTGTGCAGTTTTACTGGCTAAAATTTAAAGCCCCTCACACCCTTCTGAGAGTCTGTTTTGTTTGCACCCTTATCCTAGGAAAATGCTCACTTGCACAAAATTTTGCTTATAATTTCAAGTAAATGATGTACCACTGGCCTTACCTGTAGTTCTCCCTCCCTGATTTCTGCTTACAATTTTGTATTTTCAACAGTCCACTACACTACATCCTCTTCCTCAAACTGGGGAGAAGGCAATCCAAATGCTCCATTCTTTACACAAAGGCATTGGTGGCCTGAGATTCTGATGTGAGGAGCACTTGAGTCATAGTTGGAAGTAGAACCTAGTGGTATTGGACCCCAGGAGGTACATGTTGGGCAGGGAGTTGGTGTATGCTGGCAATCTCCCTGAAAGGGGCTGGGACTGCAGCACGAACAGTAGAGTGCTTGGTTAGCATACACAAAACTTTAGGTTCAATTTGGTACTACCAATAAAAAAAAAGAGAGAGAGAAAATCTTCCTGATAGGAAGTGATCTCGGTTTCATTTTACTGTGTGCTTGCCTGACAAAGGTGAAACGAGTGGAGGTGAGACACTCCACTCCTCACAGCAGCCTGTTCCCAGGGGTCCCGCCCCTGAGGATGTGAGAGGTTGACCTTCTGAGAAAAGAAACGAAGGTAAGTGGCCTGGTCTAGCCTGCTTCCCAATGGCACCAGGGGTAAGCCAGCTCATGACTTCTGCTTCACTAAGCTCCCCAGAAGGCTGTTCCCTGACTAAGGGGGACCAAGGATCCAAGAGGCAGGTCTCCTTGGAGAATGCAGGCTGTGTACCTACTTGGGTAGAAAAGGGAAATGTCTCATAATGTTCCCTGCTGTGTATCACAAAGATACTCAACCTACTGTTCTGTTTTATCTTTGCCCCTGACTACTCAAATTCTTAAAATTACTAGAAAGCATAATCGTGACTGTGAGTTCTGATGTCAGTTGATCTGGTTTGACAGCCCAGTCCTGTGTGTTACTCCATTCACAGGGATGTAACCTCTAAGGATGGCCCTAAAGGGTTTGTCTTCTTTATCTTCAGTTCCAGCTGAGGAGCACTAAACTTGCTGGAGAAATCCTCTGTGCCGTGTGGCTTCAGCTGCCACATGCAGTTGCTCTGTGCACCCTCCCAGCCATCCATAGCTCTTTGGATTTTGGCTGTTTTTGTGCAGAAAGGTTGACCTTACATGATCTTCATTGGAGGACATCAGGCTCTTTTGCTATGTTTATTTGTTGGATTTGAGCACATGGGAGCATGAGGAAGAGGTCAGGAAGAGAGAGGAAGGCAAAGGAGTGTTCCCCATTCAGTGCTGTTCCAGGTCAGCCACATCCTTGACAAAAGGAGACACTAGGAGAATATCTCTCTCTCTCTCTCTCTCTCTCTCTCTCTCCTTTCCTCAAGCATCGTCTCTCTCTCTCTCTCTCTCTCTCTCTCTCTCTCTCTCTCTCCTTTCCTCAAGCATACATTGTTAATATATTAATAGTCCCTATAATCTGGCTGCACCCCTCCCACACAAAGCCTTTTTAAGTGACACTGTTGAGCCCTCTGTTGTTTCTGCAGGGGCCCGGAGTTACTCTAGATGGACGGGAACATTTGTGCAAATGCGTCTTCACTTGTGCTCACTGGACTTAAAAGAGCACTTCATGTGTATTTTGACCCTTTTGGACTGGTAGTTTTATTTGTTGATTGTATGGGTGTTACATGGCTTTGTGCTAACTTTTCTAGAGACTCTTCATTCTAAACCTCTTGTAATACCCTTCACATATCAAACACCAGGCACTGCACCAAGACACAGGGAAACTAGAGCTGGGAGAAATTGTTCCTTGCTTCAATATGCCCTACAGAAATCTGGTTACCCCTTCCCCCAAACACATGCAAACATAGGGTACTTGCCTCAGACTGACTTTTCCACTGAGGTTAATGATTTTTGTTCCCTGTAGTGATAATAGTCATATGGGCTGGGGGGTGATCAGTATTTGCACATCCTGGAAAAACACCAAGTCGGCGTAAGGAAAGTTCTCTAATCGTGATCTGTCCTGAAGACGAGAATCTGACAATTCTGTGTGCATCAACAGAGTGGTTAGCTGCTGTATGCTAATGAGAATGCCCTGACACATGCCCTTGTGCTCATTCTCTCCGTCTTTCCCTGTTGTTTGGGATTTGATGGCGAGACCTTTCCTCAGCTGTTCTTCGGGGGCTGCCTTTCCATCACACACACAATTTTCGGCCAGCTCGTATAATTAGCCTGCGCTAGTATTCTGTGCAGCAAAGGTCTAGAGAGAGCAGGCACGAACGGCCCACTGTTAGGAAAGTGTTATTTCTGCACACAGGAGACTAATGGTTTTGGATGCATTGTCTATTGTCCGGAATTGTGCGTTCTGAAACTAGTGTCATTACAGACTTACAGGCGACAATTGGGAAAGCCATTCAGTGTGCGGTGATAAAATATAAAATAAAATAAAATAAAAAGTAATTTCATTTTCTTAGAAATCATTATTTAGTCATGGTCAGTTAAAGACGTAGAATTTTCTCTTTCGTCAAGCAATTTGTCCCTTTCAGGTTGCTAAAATGGAGTTTAGGAAGACAGTTACAACGGGAAGGAGGTAGCAGTCTTTTTTCTCTGGTCGTATTGACGACAGTTTTTAATGAAAGAAAAATTAAGCAGTATATTTAGGACAACCAGCTCAATAGGGTTTAATGCATCACAAGTCAGTGTGTGGTATATGGACTTGTTAAAGTGCACAGATAGGTGCATACAAGTGCCTGCGTTCATGTGAGTACACATATATGGAGGCCAGAGGTCGATGTAGGATTTCTTTATCACGCTCCGTCTTTAGTTTTTGGGTCAGGTTCTTGCACTGACCCTGAAGGTCATCGGTTTTGCAGGCCAGTCTGCTTCAGGCATCTGTCTACCTCTGCCCTCCTCCCCACAGCTGGGGTTGAGGTTTGTACCTCCTCTCCTGGCTTTTAGATGGGTTCTGGGGATTGAAACTCTGGTCCTTATGCTTATACAGCAAGCACTTTACCTATAGCGCCATCTCCTCAGCCCTAATTCTTTATTCTCTGTTGAAGACCAGGAGCTGCAAGAAGGCAACAGTGCTGAGTTCTCAGCTCTGTCCCGAGGCCCTGTACATGAACTAGTAGCCTTTGAACCAACTTACTAGACTTATATTACAGTAACTCTACTAGATCTACTAAATCTAGTAAATTGCATTTTACTAGAATTAGAAAACATTTGTTGAGTGAATGCATGAACAAATTTGTTTCCTAAATCTTCAAAATGCTTTTTATGTTATGTCTAATTTCTACATTTAAAAAAATTGCCTATCAATTCATAAATGTCAACTCTTGATGTCAATTTCATCTTCTGTGACCCTTCCTGTTACTTTGGAGTTATATTTTTCTTTTCTTTTCTTTTTTAAACATTCAAAAAATTTTATTATTTTTATTTTATATGTATGAGTGTATTACCTGCATGTATGTAATTGCACCCATGTTATCCAATGCTCATGGAGGTCTGAAGTAGGCATCAAATTCCCCTGGAACTGAAGCTATGGACGGTTGTTAGCTGCCATGTGGATGCTAGGAATCAAACCTTTCTACTCTCTGCAAGAGCAGCCAGTCCTCTTAAGTGCTGAGCCATCTCTCTAGCTCCCAAAATAAAATATAGTTTTGTTTTTCATTGTAGTTAAAGACAAACAGTAATACAGATCATTACAATCCAATAGGATAAGCACTAAGTATAGACCAGAGATCAAATGCCTGAGGTTTGGGGGAAACAATATCTTTTTTTTAAATAAATAATTTATTGAGAATTTCATACATGCATATAAGGTGTTTTGATCAAATCCATGCCCACTCCCTCCCCTCCAACTCCTCCCATATCTCCCCATCACTTTTTTTCTGATAACTTCATGTACTTTTTCTTCTTCTTTGATTTATTTATTTTTTATGGGGCTTTTGGCTACTCTAACATTCCCCCTTCTGAAGAGGTAACCCTAAAATCTTTTAAGGATTAGATAAAAGCTCCTAAATATTTTCAACATTTTTGGCCCAAGGACACTGTGACTTTTAGCCAAGAAACTGGCTACTTTTCTTTGGGGTCTTTCTACCCTAACCCTAGTCAATTCCTACCTCCTATTCTTATCATGCCATCCTCTGAAGGGGTTATCCAAATTGCCAATAGGGAATCGGGACACAGACCACTGTTTTCCTCTGTGATGAACGGGGACACAGGGTGAGTCAATTGGGGTACCCCTTCAGTGGGTCTACCTAAAAGACTCCCAAATTGCATAACTCTTGTCTCTAGGGGGAGAAGAAAGTCATTGAATCGTGAATAGGAGATGTGAAGGAGATGTAAAGGCAAGAGTAATTAGCATTACAAGTTCTAGACAGGGAACTAGAAAAAAAGTCACATTTTTCTTTTGTCTTCCAAGGCTGGACTCTAGAGTGATGGATTCAGGATTTGCTTTCAGGTATTTTGATAGCTGTTGGAGTGGTTAGAATCAGTGTCAGTTCCCTCTCAAAGACTTCTAGCTAGGGGGAGAAAACAAATTTATTCATCATTTTAGAACAATAGCTGGTTGTCTCCCTTAGCTACACTGGGCACTACAGTGTTGCAGACCAAGATTTGAAGTCTTACATCTGAGCAGCACTTTCCGGTTAGGAACAAAATCATCAACGAGAAATAATTGTCTAAATAACTTTTTATATAGATTTAAGCCTAATGTCTGGCAAGTGTAATCCCTTGAACTCTTTTTATTTTTTTATTT